TCTCACACTCTCATTCTCTCTCTCCCTCTCACCCTCTCAGTCTCTCTCTCATTCTCACCCTCTCAGTCTCTCTCACCCTCTCATTATCTCTCTCACACTCTCGCTCACTCACTGATACTCATTTTGTTTGCATATCCATTCCATTGTTCGGCCACAGTGTTTTTTATATCGACGTAAACATTTCCATCGAAAGTGAAAACAGGGGCCGGGCGTGAATGACCTCGTGTTAGAGGGAATGGTCGGTCATTGTCTTTTCCTGACGTCACGGCGGGTTATGTAACACTTCGTAACTTGTTATGTTTCCCTGGCTCACTCCATGCGTGTGTCCCTTGCCCGCACACTGTCACTACTTCCTCTCCTCTGTTGCTGTGATCTTTTGTTTTCTTTGTTTTGTTTTGTTTTCTTTTTTTTATCTCACTCATTCATTTTCGGCCTCGATCTCGCTTTCGTTCTATATCTCGCTTTTTCTTTTATCCTTCGTTTTGGGTCTTGCTATCTCGCTCTCGCTTTTCTCTCTCTTGTTCTTGCTCTTTCTCGTTCTCTTGTATTCTCTCTCTTTTTCTTTTGGTCTTCATTTCGCTTTTTCGCTCTTTCTTTTGCACTCACTTGCTCTCTCTCTCTCTCTCCCTCCCTCCCTCCCTCCCTCCCTCCCTCCCTCCCTCCCTCCCTCCCTCCCTCCCTCCCTCCCTCCCTCCCTCCCTCCCTCCCTCCCTCCCTCCTCTCCCCTCTCTCCCTCTCTCCCTCCCTCCCTCCCTCACTCCCTCTCCCCTCTCTCCCTCTCTCCCTCTCTCCCTCTCTCCCTCTCTCCCCCCCCCCCTCTCTCTCTCTCTCTCTGTGCTGTGTGGAGCAGCGGTAGCGATCTCGTCTAGCAATCTTGCTGACCTGCGTTCGAATCCCTCGCCGCCAGTGAATGGTAACACCGGGCATTCCTTGCACACAGGGGATAACTTAGAAGCAAAATGAAACAACACACCAAGAATATCCATTGTAACAAATGGAATCAAATTAAACCTTTCTAAACCCTCTCTCTCTCTCTCTCTCTCTCTCTCTCTCTCTCTCTCTCTCTCTCTCTCTCTCTCTCTCTCTCTCTCTCTCTCTCTCTCTCTCTCTCTCTCTCTCTCTCTCTCCCTCCCTCCCTCCCTCCCCCCCTCCCTCCCTCCCTCCCTCTCTCCCCCCCTCCCTCCCTCTCTCTCTCTCTCTCTCTCTCTCTCTCTCTCTCTCTCTCTCTCTCTCTCTCTCTCTCTCTCTCTCTCTCTCTCTCTCTCTCTCCTCTCTCTCTCTCTCTCTCTCTCCCTCTCTCTCTCCCTCTCTCTCCTTCTCTCTCCCTCTCTCTCCCTCTCTCTCCCTCTCTCTCTCCCTCTCCCTCTCTCCCTCCCTCTCTCTCTCTCTCCCTCCCTCTCTCCTTCCCTCCCTCACTCCCTCCCTCCCTCCCTCCCTCCCTCTCTCCCTCCCTCTCTCTCTCTCTCTCTCTCTCTCTCTCTCTCTCTCTCTCTCTCTCTCTCTCCTCTCTCTCTCTCTCTCTCTCTCTCTCTCTCTCTCTCTCTCTCTCTCTCTCTCTCTCTCTCTCCCCTTTCTCTCTTTCTCTCTACCCCTCTCCTCTTTCTCTCTACCCCTCTCCCCTTTCTCTCCCTCCCTCCCCCCACCTCCCCTCCCCCTCCCAGAGTACTGCAAGTTTTTCGGCGCCCGTGGCAAGGCTGTATGTAGCAAAGCCGTAATATCCAAGGGGCAGAATCAATACCTGGCTGGCTCTGCCCTCCTGTCTCCCGCTGGCCATTTGCTGTCTTGGCGGCGGTGTTACTTTATTCATGACGCTGGTAATCTCTTCGGGGGTGGCTGGGTGGCTGGGTTAATGGGTGGGTGGCTGGGTGGGTGCATTTTGGTGGGTGGCTGGGTAGATGAGTGCATGAGTGGATGGATGGGTGGGTGAGTGGGTGGATGCGTCGGTAGGTAGGTGGGTTGGAGGATGGGTGGGTGGATGTGTGGATGGGTGGATAGGTGGGTGGATGGGTTAGTGGACGAGTGGTTGGTGGATGGACGGGTGGAGGCTAGGGTAGATGGATTAACTGGCGTTGGGTGCATGGATGAGTTGGTGGATTAGTGGATGAATGAATGGATGCAAGGACGGATGCATAGATAAAATGGATAGTAAGATTCTATAATGATAGGAGAGATGAATTGATGGATGGTTAAATGGATTGATATATAGTTGGATAGATAGATTGATGGTTAAATGGATTGATATATAGTTGGATAGATAGATGGATGGATAAATGGATAGATGGCTGGGCGGAGAGCCGACGCTTAGCCAGACAGGTCAACGGCCAAGGTAAGCGGACGTGGAATGTGACTGGCAGGCGAGCGGAAGAAACAGGCAAACCGGAGGAAAGCAGGCACAGGCATAGACCTTGAGAGCGAAACCGCGCTGGGTCGCTCGCAGGCATTAATGTAGGCATTAAGGTAGACTTACTGACGGCGTGAGAGACAGACAATTGGCCCCGAG